GGTGTGGGGATGGCCCTGACGCAGCCCCCCTGCAGGTGGTGAGCGACGCGCGGCGCCTCTCGGACGTGGAGTGGTTCCGGGACGTGTACGGGGACGTGGTGCAGACCGTGCGGGTCGTGGCCAGCGAGGAGACAAGGAAGAGGAGGGACTGGGTCTTCGTTGCCGGTGAGCGAGCGCTGAGCTCCCCCAGCAGAGCACTGAACTGGGGCTGTGCTGGCACCGTGGCTGCTCCGTGGCACTGCGGTCACCCCCTGGCCTGGTTCCATGGCCTCCACCACCATCCCTTGGCTGTGGGAGCCAGAGGTGTTAGGTGAAGCCCCCCAGCTCCAGGGGGATGAGGCTGGAGCAGGATGGATGGACAGATCCTGCCCGGCTGTGGGGGCCTCACCGTGCTCTGCTCCTCCCCAGGAGTGGACGACGCGGAATCTGAGTGTGGCCTGGACCAGGGAGTGGCCTTTGACTGGGTGATCACCAACGATGGAGATGAGCTGTCCCTGGACGAGCAGCTGGAGACACTGCTCCAGTCACTCCAGGGCCGTCTGTAACTTGGTGGCCCTTGGCTGGGACCTGGGGACTGCGTCCCCCTCCTGGCCCCGTGATGTGTCCCCTCCTGCCTCCATCCAGTCCTCCCTGTCCTACACAAAGCTGTGACATGGAGAATTGCAGCCACCTTGTGTCTATCATCATTTCCATGGGGGAACACAGGCCTGGGGGACACAGGGCCAGAGGTCATGGGACTGGGGGGGGACACACAGGGCTGGAGGACATCGGGCTGGGGACACTGGGCTGGTGGACACAGGTGATGCTCCTCTGGCTGTGCCCTTGACCCTCGTGTGGGCTCCTCAGCTTTTGGGGAGGCTGAGCTGTGATTTAATTTCTGCTGCCTGGGCGGGGGCAAGGAGGGATCACCAACTGGGTGCTTCCTGGTGTGTTTAATAGGCTTTCATTGGCCAATTCCCAGCGGATCATCCACTTCCAGAGCAGATGGCTCCTGCACTAATACCTGCTCCCTCCTGCAGCAGCTGGGCACAGCTGGAGGGACTCGAGGGAGGGGCACTGCAAGAGCTGGGCTTGGGGAGAAGGATTAGGGTTCTTTTCCCCACACCCAGTTGCTGTGACTCCAGAATCATGCTGAATCCCCTTGGGGACATCTCGGGGGGG